AACTCCTTCCTGATTCTTTATCTTTTTACTAGCTTTGTTTTCTTTTCTCGAAGAATTTCTCCATGTTTGTTCTTTATGAAAGAAATCTTTATAGAAAGGTTCATCTACCTCTCCATAGTAATTCCAACAGAGTATAGAATCAATTGTAGTCTTTTTACGTGAATTTGCTGACATTTTTGATAACATCCAATCAAGAATTTTCAGCTGGGTGGCTCTTTTTACCACGAATGACCAGTTATACTTGGAACCATTAAAGGTAAGTTCGATATCGAGGGCTAGAGCTCTCCAACATAAAGCAAATGCTTTTAATAAATTTCTTTCATTCCCACAAATAATTGTGATTCAATTTGAATCTGATGCCATTTCTACGTCAACAAGGCAAATTTGTTTTAATGGAGTGGGATCATCTTTCTAGTGAACAGTCATACAAATCATAAATATGTTATCCTCTTTATATCTTGCATATGAAAAATGGTCTAACCCAAGTGTTGAATATGTTTCGATATTCCAAGCAAGGACTAATGCTCGGTCATGAGTAATAAATTGAGAAGAATAAGTCTTATTTAATACTGTGGGATTCTCTATATGGTGAAAATTATTAATGGATACATAAAAAGCATGTTCACAAAGTGAAGAGTGAGCACTATAATGCATCACACCATTATTGTGTTCATAATTGGTTAATAAATTCCAGCCAGAAAGTGGTATCCTATATTCTTGAGCAACTTTTCGATAATATACAGTTGTATCATCTGAGGCAGTTTTCAGCGTATACCCTCACTTTGCTTCTCCAATTTCTGAATTATGTTTTAAGATAATATCAAGAGCGATTTTTCTTTGTTTAGAAATAGTTGTAACAATACATAAATATGTCTTTTTTTCTGGTTGATAACTCTTAATCGGAAAGGCCTTCACATATTCTATTCGGACTTGACTCATATCTACAGTTTTCCTGTCATCATTTTTTCCTTTAGCGAGAATATCCATTATTTTAGACTCAAATAACTTTGTTTTCTCATTATCGGGAACACGAATATCGAAGAAAACTTTTATGCTGGAAATTGTTACTACAGCTTTTTGATCATCAACAAGATATCCATATATACGTAAAACGTAATGTGGGATATTATTTATATATTCATTATATTCTTCAATGTCAATTGGCATAAAAGGTATACCTTCTCTTTTGACTAAAGCCCATTTAATAGTTGCCATTGATCCATAGTCATCAATTTCTGTAATATCATATTACGGCTCGGATGGGTCAGTAAATAATCTTCTCCTTTGTAGTAAAATACCTGGCTTTCCTCCCTACTTTCCGAAATTTGTGATTGAGAAAAAGCTTTAAGCTCCCGGTGGTAGAACGCCCCACTATTTTCTTCCTCTATATCTATTTCCAGCTCGAAATTTTCTTGGAAAATTTGGATAGACATGCTATGTTTACTTTGGATACTCATGTTTTTTCTGAAAGAATATTATTCGGAATTAAAAAGTTTAAAATGAAAATTAATTCTAAAGAATATTGAATAGTACATATTATATACTCAATCAAGATAAACGTCAAAAGAATGACATTTTATTATTGTCTCTATATCCTTAGAACCGGTGAAGTCTGTAATCAGTCATGTTATCATTCCAATAGGTGCAAAGTTCACCGGGATTCACCTATTCGTTATCCTTGCAAAGAATATGATTTTGTTAAGTTAACTTATTCTGATTATGGTTATTGTAATACTCATGCGCAGAAACATCGTAGAAGAGAGTATAAATATCAGAAAAAGCTGAAGAAGATGACGCAAGACAGGGAATTAGAAATTTGATGCTCTGTATCATCTGAGGTAAAAGAAAATTAATATACTTATGCGTGATATGCAGGATACCTATATTTTTCGATGTTTCAACTAGAACAAATTTTTTTCTAGGACGTGAAATAGGACGAAAAAAAATATACCTGCTGGCAATTTCAAGCTGAACGAAAGAGTTTTGGAATACCCATCCCAGTTGTCTTAGTTGTCCTAGTAAAATTTCGATCTTCTTATCTTTTTTTTTCTTTTTTTTATCTATAGGTATACATAGTATCTATTATATATATATAGCATGTGTATATAACTGTATATATCATTATGTATAATATAAATGTATCATGAGTAGATAAATTTTATTTTTCCTAGATTATTACTTTTTACTAGAACAACTAGGACGAATATATAATAAATATAAAAGAACAAGATAAAAATGGATTTTAAATCTTTCTCCTATATCGAATCCGCTCCAGTTAACATTTTTTTTACTAGGACGAAACCAGAATGAATTTTTTATTAGGATGTGAGCAGATCGATTTTAACCGCAATCTAGGGTAGTGAACATCTTTTTTCGGGGTATATATCTATCCACTTTAATGATATGTCTTCAGGTATATGCTCAGAGTGTATAAGTTCAGCGTGATATGTTTCGTATACATATTTGATAACATATACCCAATAACATGACTCGATAACATAATCAGATAGCATGTGTATAACATACCTGACACCATATACTCTGGCTATATACCTCTACAAATGATGACATAATCGCAATATCATATTCCTGTCATCAAAAATATGTCATAAAAAATATATCACGACACTGACGACGATGTCATATTTTTGTCATTAAAAATGTGTCATAAAATATATATCACGACACTGATGACGATATTATATTTTTGTCGTCAAAAATGTGTCATAAAATATATATCACGACACTGATGACAGTGTCGTATTTCTATCATCACAACACTGATGACGGTGTTGCATTTATGTCGTTATGACACATACCTGAGACTATTATAGTCTAATTTAAGTCATTTTTAGTTTATATAAACTAAAAATGACTGTTTTATATAAAAGTTTTTAATTTTATTAATAAATATTTTTTATTTTATATCAAAATAAAGATCATAGATTATATATTTTTTCTGATTTTTTTTGATTTTTTTCTGATAAAATTGTTCTAATTGCAAAATTATTGTAAAAATTTTTTAAAATTAATTTTATATTTTGATTATAAAAATTTTTGTAATAATTTTGCAATTAAAACAACTTTATCAAAAAAATCCAAAAAATATATGTTAAAATATAATTTATAATATTTGTTTTAATATAAAAATAAAAAATGCTTATTAACAAAATTGAAAACTTTAATATAAGACAAAAATTTTAATTTTTACTATATTTTATTAATAAAATTGCATGCATAATTTCATAATTTTGTTGGTTATTATATTTAGTTTTAATAAATTAAATTTGTAAATTATAAAATATTATATCTTAATTTTTTTTGCTTAAAATTAAAATAAATATATTATATTATTATTAAATTTATCTAATTTTAATGAATTTAATAACAATTTTACAAAAAATAATCTGATAATTCTTAAAATATTATATTTTAAAATTACTAAATTAGTTTTTAATTTAGAATACTTAATTTATCAAATCAAATTTCATTAAAATTCAGCTATTATTTTACTAAATTTCAATAAATATATAATTTATTTTTATTTATAAATTGTAAATATAAATTTATTTTAAAAATAAAAAAATAAAATATCTTATAATTTACAAATTTAAATTAAATAATAATAATATTATTTGATTTGATAAATTAAATAGCATATTTTTGTTTGAATTAAATCAATAAATTATAAAATATTCTGTTTTAAAAATTATCAGATAGTTTTTTATTCTTTATCATTTATTTTATTAAGAAATTATAAATATATTATTTAATTATAATATTATTAAATCATAAATTATTTTAATTATTATTAAAAGAATTATATAAAATAAACAAGAAATTAAAACAATAAAAGTAAAAGTAAAAATAAAAAACAAATCAATAAAGTAAAAAAGCAATTTAATTGACAATTTAATATTTTATAAATATAATATGTATTTAGCTAAATTTTAAATAATTTTAATAGAATTTCTTTGAATTTAATAATATACTTATTCTTTAATAATTCACTTTTTTATTTAAAAGTATAATTAATTCTTTCTATAATTATATTATTAAATTCAATATTAATTTTTTTATAAATATAATTATAATAAATACATTATAGTAAAATGCTTTTATTATTGCTGGTTTTTGTAAAAAGAATAATTATAACAAAATAATTATAAAGAAGTTTAATTGCATTATTTTTTATTTTGTAAAATAAATATTAAGTTTCTACTTTATTGATTTATATAATAGAATGCATTATTACTAAATATAAATTCTGATTAAAATTCATTTCATTATACATTATTGAAAATTGTAATTTTAATAATATTTGATTTAATAAAGAATTATTTTTATGTAATTGTTTTTTAAGTTGATTAATTTTTTCGTATAAATATTTCTGATAAATCTTAAAAGAAGTTAATTTATAATTAGAACATGAATTAGAAATCAGAAAACATAGAATATCCATCGCGTAATCCGACATGTTAAGCTCACAATCACAAGTGAGCACCCCCCTATTCCAATAATTCAAATTGTTCAAGCTGTGTTAGATTTCTTTTACAAAAATATTACCAACCAAAGAGCTAATTTAATAATTTAGAACTATAACCATCCAAAAAGTCTTTTTATATGAAAGAAAAAAATGATTGATTGCGTCCAAACCTGCTTGATAATGCATTAAAAAATTAATTCACTTTATTTCTTTCGCCTTGTAATGTCACTATAATCTTTCTTCCTGACGCATGTGTTCTATGCTCTAATAAATAGATGCTGAAGATTATAAATTAAAAGAAATAATTAGAAAGATTTTAAAGAAATTGACATCTTTGAAGACTTGAAATTATACGAAATTAAAGAGCTTATTGTCGTGTCGGAAAGATTTTATGTCTTGGCATCTACCAAACCTAATTCTCGTTACACATTACTTTCGTTAAACCGGTTTGACGAGAGCGACGTGTATCAAAGATAGATTCGGTAATAAAGACTTCGATGCGATTAACAACCCTTCATCTTCACTTCAACTAAGACTTTGTTATTTATATTAAGCGTATACATACCCTTGCCAAGTACCCAAATTCAATCGTCCATTAGTAATTGGGATATTCAAAGAGGCGCCGATTAATGCATTTTTCAAATGACCAGGCTTACGAAATAAATATCAAATATTGCATTCAGACTTTTTTCTTGTTGATCTAACATAAAAAAACGCGTTTATAGAAAATAGATATAATACCATATCATCGGGTCCTTCATTAGAATGTATATATGGCCAATTCTCAGGAACTAATCTATTTAATCCCATTTCCATGTCTTCACGTACATCCGGGTCGGCATTTTCATTCAAGCATAAAGAGGCGGATGTATGCTGTACTATTATTTTTTAGTATTTGAGAATAAAAAGAAAGAGGGATCATTACATATTTTGACGTGGATTCGTATGATATTGAAGAAGTTTTCGCAATAAAGTTTTCTCGATAAATGATATCAAACAAACTACAGTATTGCACTTTAGAATGTTTAAATCTTGATGTATGACGCATTTTTTCGGATCTAAAAAACCGATCCAAAAAGCCCTATATAAAATATACAAAATGCTTACAAAACACGTTAGCCAGCCCAACACGATAATCCCTTAGCTCGGCGACTTGTCTCTCGACCTCATTCGTAATTAAATGACACCCACGTGGTTTGCTCGTCAAGCGAAAAGCAGTCTGTGACCAAGACATTTATCTTATCAAAATATCTCGGCGAAAGTAAAATAACATCATGATGATCATGACACATTATTCACCACGAACATGTGATTGAATTGTTCAAATTCAAATTGCTCTGTGAGGAGTGTGAATAATAAATAATGTCTTATCATGAGGATCGGCGAGAAAGTAGTCATGAAAAACGCGGCGGTTGGGGAAGTGGAGGGGGAAGCGGTGATAAATGGGCCTCAAGGCTATATGTTGGTTAGTCTCTTGCTTTACTAACATATATACTGACGCGCAAAGTCTTTACTGGTAAAGAAAAAATCAAGTTGAACTGAATATATGAAATACCTCAACAGGTCGTCTTTCAAGAAATGTATCAGAAAGTGATATAGACGACGCTTTTGGAAAATATGGACGAATTCGTGAGGTTGACGTAAGTTCACGACCACATAAATTTTATGAATACATATTACTTAAACTAATTGTATTCTGTCCAATATAAACAATATAACAATTGATATTATAGATGAAGGTAATGAATACTTTTCGATCGTGTTTACGAACTTGACATTTTTTTTGAATTTTCACGATTTCTTGTGGTTCAGAGTATTCATTGTTTCTTGTATGTATATATTTTTTCTGAATACCAGATTGGTTTCTGCTTCGTACAATATGATGATCCAAGAGATGCACAAGACGCCCTGAGGTGAGAGGAGCGATAGGTGAACACGCAGTCTTTAGATGAGACCGATAAAGAAAGGCGATGCCACCACGCGAGAATTTGGAATTTTTTGTGATTGTTGTCTGTCTGTCTTTTTATGATGATGTTGAATTCGAGAGATAGATATTACGGTGGTGTGAATTATTCAAAGATGATATTATCCCAGAAGAAAAAAAAATACGAGAAAATTCTGTTTGATTTTTTTGGTGGTGTAAAAATTACTTCGTTTCTGGTGATACTGAAGAAAACAAAGAAAGAAAGAAAGAAAGGTGAAAAAAGAATAGGCGTCGTATATACACACAACTTTCTCTCTACTACTACTGTTCGCCGGAGGTGTGCGTCCCTGCTGAGCCTTGTTTGTTTGTTAATGACAATATCAATTCAGGGATTTGGACGGCGTACGTATTCAAGGTAATGATGAACGAGTCTTGGTAGAGTTTGCCAAAGGTAAGCTAACTATCTTTATTCACTATTTTCGTGATTTTGTTGTTCGGATTTTTGATTTTCGAATTTGTTTTAACATTTCGTGTTGGTTGCCTTTTGTATTTTGGAGCAGGAAGTACCTGGCGCGGATCGCCCCGAGACAGCCGAAATTCAAATTATGGTGGTGGCAGAGGAGGAGGGAGTCGATTCGATAGTAGGCCGCCTGAAAGATGTTTTAATTGTGGTCACGTCGGTAAGGATTTCTTGTATTTGATGTATGTTATTTTGATTGTTTCGTCAGTCTTTTTAATGATTATATGACTTTTTTACTTCGTGTTGCTAAAATTAGGGCATTGGGCTAGGGACTGGTTAGTATATATTCTATAGTTTTGTGGGATTTGAGATTTCTTAAACTATATTAATTTATCATCTATTTGTTGATTGAATTTGCTGAATACGAGTAGTCCGACACCTGCGGGAAGGTAACTTGTATACAAAGATTTTTCTAAAATCTAAGTTTTTTTTTTTTTTGATTCTTTATCGGAATTATTTGATACTTAACGCAATTTTTCAATTGAATAAGTGGTGAACGTTCGCGCAGGTAAGGTTTATTTTTCTCTCATTGATTTTAATAATTTGTGGCAATTTGTATTTGATTTGGTGTTCTTGTTAATTGTATGTGATCATAGATATGAAGAAAATCGGTGTTTGTAAGTACGAACCTTATTTTTTCCGTTACAGATTGAATCATCATTCAATTAAAATATTATCTAATTTAGATTTCTTCGATAATACTTATTTATTAGTACTTGTGGCCAGTCGGGGCATCGAGCAAAAGAATGCATGAGGTATCAAATTATAATATCCATTGGATTTGCTTATTTCTAAAATTAACAAGATATCTCATCTTCCTTTGTAAAAAGAGGAAGATCACGTTCTCCTTACAGGTCGGATCGTGATCGTACACCACTAAGAAGCTCACGCTCACCACCACATCGTTCAAGAGACAGCGACCGCGACCGTGACCGTGACCGTGATCGTGATCGTGATCGAGAACGCGATAGGGATAGTGATAGAGATAGAGATCATGATAGGAACCGAGATCGCGATCGAGAGCGACGAGATAGAGGACATGATCGTGATCGGTCTCCTAGAAATCGGTCTCCGAGGAACTATTCACCAAAAAGACGATCATCTTCATCATCATCGTCATCATCTACTTCCCGTCGGTCATCATCAAGTCATCGTTGAATGTTTTTCAATTGATATATTATAATAAATTACTTATTTGTTTATATGATTACGAGAATAACGATATTTAATCTATCCGAGTATCATAATATAATTAATAAAAAATCTAATTTTTTTCAGTGTGTATACGAAAATGCTAAAATTAGTTTTACAGAATATCGATATCATACAAATCCGCGAAATGATATTTATAGCACACAAATCCACGAAATGATATCGATAGCATACAAATCCGCGAAAGGATATCGATATCATACAAATCCGCGAAATGATATTTATAGCACACAAATCCACGAAATGATATTGATAGCATACAAATCCGCGAAAGGATATCGATATCATACAAATCCGCGAAATAGAACCATACAAATCTGGTACAAATCAGTTTCATTTACGGGATATCGATATACAAATCCGCGAAATGACGTATCATCATTTCTTGAAACACGTGGAATAGATCATTGGACTTTGTTTATTCATTTTTACACTTGTAGTGTCATACATAAAAAGCGAGATCAATGGCTAAATTTAAGGATCTCGAACAGTATAATACTTGAATTGTTATCATTCATAATTACTATACGTACGTATTTGGCCAACTCTTACAATACATGCTCGCACAGATTCTCCAAAAAGTATAACGGAGGTTTTCTTTCACTTGCATGCGCTACGTTTCTCATTTATTGTAGAAACGTGGTTATCAATATGTACCATTGTAATTCATATGATTATATTTATTGAAAAAAATCGGCGATAGACGGTCATTATACATGTGTTACCGTTACTAATGAATTTCAATAAGGAAATGGTTAAGTATCACTTGTAATTGCAACCAAAATAACGGCAAAAAAGAAACGCGAGAAAAAAGCATTCATTACACTAAATTTGATTGTGTGTATGTGTAGCAATCAAGCAAGCACATATTTCAACTTTCCTTATAAATATATTGCTTGCGTTTTTGAAATTAAAAATTGAAACTGTTGACCGGTCAATATAGATAAATTCCTTGTGTATTATTTTTTCGATATAAATATCGAACATTCCCGCATCCAATTTAGATAATTTACTACTTTTCTCTTTTTCCGTTTGCTTCTCTTTTCTTTCTTTACTTTCCTATTTTCCTTCATTCCTTCCTTCCTTTCCTTCCTTTCCTTCCTGCCTTCCTTCCTTATCTAAAAACACACATATATACATATATTACTTTATTATTAGAAATAAAAATGTCTTTAAAATCGATTATCACTTTACTTTTCATCTTCTCTGCTATCTTAAGCGTGCAAGCAGTAGCAAGAATTAATAATCCAATTGGGGGAACCGTGTGGAAAATTGGTTCGAAAGCTATCGTTAGTTGGTATGTTGACGGCACAACTGACGCAAATAAAGTTAATTTGGTATTGAAAGCTGGCGACCCAAATTCTTTACAATTTATTGCGCTTATTGCTAAAGATGTTCCGGTTGCTCAGGGTTCACTTGAGTATTTGGTGCCAGGCAATCTTGTAACTTCGTAAGTATATTTTATTATATTTTATACTATAAATAACTAATAAGACATAATTACTAAATTATTAAATATAATATTTATTTGTAGTGATGCATACACAGTTGGCGTTGGTTCGGATGATACCGACTATAATTACTCGCATTACTTCAGAATTGAAGGTGTTGAAGGAACAATTGGAACCTCGAAGGCACCAACTCCAACTTCAGCCACACCTTCAAGCCTTTTAACATCAACAACCACCAATTCAACCAACACGTCAACCACCACCTCCTCCACCTCCACCACCACCACATCCTCCTCCTCATCATCTACTACTTCCCCAGCTGCACCATCAACTACCACTGTAAAATCTCCATCTTCTGCCACTAAGCCAACAACTGCAGCGACTCCAGTAAATTCGGGAAATAATCTTGTGTTTTCTGGTTTTGGCAGTGTCGTGACTGGTTTATTATCGGTTGCTGCTTTATTTTTCACCTTTTTCTAGACTTTGAACTATTAGAGAATTTATTTATTCATTTATTCATAAATTGTACTTTTTATCATTTGTATTTTAGTCTATAACAAATAATAGATAAATTCTTGTATACGCACATAAATACACACATAAAAAATACCCCTAATCTTTCTCTCCATTAATCCCCATATACCATAAACACATCATTTCGTATTTAATATTATCAGTATCACTAGATCATAATATTTATTTAAAGTTTCTCCAACGAGAAAAAGTTTAAAATTAATAAATTAAATTAATCAACGTGTTCAATTTTTGTCGTATTGAACTACTATAACTGAATTCAATGTCATTCTTAATTGGTCAACGTCGTATTTTAATGATAATTATTTTCATTGTTGTTTGAACACATAAATTCGCAGACACCCAATTAGCAACACATAGTTTCCAATAGCTTGATTTCAACTGGTCCCTATATTTGTTTTTGGCGATACAATTATTTTGTGTACGGATGCGCTTGATCATATGTTTATATAGATAAATACTATGCAAGCAATTTAATATGAAGATTGAATCATCACATCAGTACAATAAGAGAATTTTTTAATTTAGCACATGTATTTTATTTTATTATACATGTAAGGTGTACTCACCTATTCTTGTGCATCTTCCTATTTCCGTGCACTCAATATCTCAAAATTTTATTAAGAAAATCTACTTTAGGTTATTAAGTAAATGTGTTCAGAATGAAATTTTAGATATATTTGTTTTTTTTTAATAATAGTTGATAATATGAATAAAATTTGAGATCTATTTTTTGCATATACATCTATTTTCATATATTGAATATCTCAGGATTTTATTATAAAAATCTTATTTAAGCTATTAATTAAATAAAAATTTAGGTATATTTACATTTTTTCAATAACAATTTATAATATAAATAAAATCGGAGAGCTTATTTTCTTGCAAATATCTCAAAATTTATTAATTAAAATCTAGTTTAGGCTTAAAATAATATAAGAGGATTAAAACAAATTGGTAGTATTAATCATACAATAAATTAAATAAAGTTAGGGTTAAAGTGATAGATTTTAATTTATAAATTTAATATTTAAAATTTTCGCAAAAAATATTATGTATATAAAAATATTTATATATGCATGTAAACATTATTTGTCACAAGTTGCTTATATACCAAAATATGGTTTTTCTTGATTATTTTCTGCTTTTAACTGCTGGATTTTTCTGCATAGGAGCGAAAAAATTATTTCGCCTCGTCTTACTAATCGACAAATACTAGATCGTTTGACTGTTATTCTTTCTATTTTTCGTGGTTAGCGAGCATCTGAAACATCAAAAATAAAATTCTACAATAGAATCCGATTAACATCAACATTGATTCTTAAGCTGGAAATTCCAAAAGATGAAAAATATATTTCAAGGTTTCTCTAGCTAGAACGGAAAGATTATTACTATTGGACAATTACATTCCCAATCTCTTTGCTTACATTGTCTGATTTTAGTTGCCGAATAATGATACGAAAACACGAAATTTTTTGAAGGGAAGCACGCGAAATACTTAATTCTTTACGGTCCAAAAAAGAAAATCCGGAATTCCGACATAATCTCATTATGCAAAAGCTCAAAGAGGCTCAATTGGTTACAATGGGCCAAAACACAAACGACATTTACAAAAGCTAATTAAGATTTATTGAAAACTTCAATGATTTGACACCAAAAGAGAAAGAGTATGCCAAAGAAGTCCTTACCCAAGGCAAAAATGTGAATAATCAAAACCAGAGGGGGCTCAGGTGAAATACACACTGCGATATAATCTTTTTTGATAAAAAATCACAAACTTATAAGCGATCAGGACCAATCCAAATCATTCTTAAGAAGATTGCGAAATCCGACCAATCAAGCGACTAATTCCTTCAAGAGGTAATTTTTTAAAGAGATTTGTTTCGAATTCATTTAAACCCGATATTTTCCTTTAAACAAAGCAACATCTGGCTTTACGAGCTGGATACAGACTCTTCCGATCTTTGGAGTATCCAAAGAACCAAGAACACAAGAATATACAGTGCTCGTCAGAAGTAACCTACCTCCCATAACTTTCCATAGTTCATGTGTAATGTACCAAAATTTTCCGAGCACAAAGAACATTACAAATGCTGATCGTTGATACCTTTTATAAGATTGGTAAAGCTTCTATATCGGGTGTTGTATGTTCACGTCCAAAATACATACATGTATAATCGGTTATTTCATAACACACATCTCAACATTCAATAATTTAATTCTAGACGTTCAGTGATCCGATTGAACAAACATACAACCATTCGATTCGTCCAGTCGAGGTGAATCAAATGGTAATATTTTTGTTCAAATCGGATCGAAATATTAGGGGCCTGACATATATGAGCTCATTATAAGGGGGGGGAAGGGGGTTAGAAGAGAGATATATAAATATCTCATCTCTCACGTGACACATAATATAATTATAGAATTTAAGAATTAACCAATAAAAATATTATATATAAAGAGGGTATTTTGATACATATGGATATTATGACACGGCCAGAAAACTATGCAATATCTCGACACCTAGTGGTCAGAATCGTACCAATATAACAACAACACCATTCGATTTACCGTGACTAGACGAATCGAATGGTATTATTTTGGTACGATTCTGACCACTAGGTGTCGAGATATCACGTCTGAAAGTCACCGTACGCCAAATCATTCGCCAATTTACATCGAAATTTTAACGTATGGTACATTTTTGGTGCAATATCTTGACACCTAGTGGTCAAAATCGCACCAAAATAATACCATTCGATTTTCCATAACTAGGCGAATCGAATGGTATTATTTTGGTGCGATTCTGATCATAATATCCATGTCTTTCTGCTGTGTATTTAGGCCACGTGATATAGTATCATGTGATTAAATCTCAGCGGGGGTCAGTCTTATAGTAACTCATAATGAGCTCATATATGTCAGGCCCCTTACGTCAGATTCTTTTTTTTCCTAAATTGATCAATTCATTTTTTGGCGATCGACAAATATGAATTGGTCACATAATATTAATATCTCGACGTCTAGTGATCCAATTTGAGCAAAAATACTACCATCCGATTTTTCTAATCTAGACAAATCAAATGGTGGTATTTTTGCTCAAATTGGATCACTAGACGTCGAGATATTATGTCCTAAAGTGACCGATTCATTGTATTTAGGACATGAAAGTTTATAAACATACAATACGCAATATCGCTCAGAGCAAATGAAAAGTTGGGCAGGTCGGGAAACGGTTTGGTCGTATGATCTTCAATTTATTATTGGCGGATTCATTAAGCAAATGATCATATTTGTATATATGTTGTTGGTAAAATTTTATTGATGATATTTATTTCCTAGAGAAAAAAGTAAGAATTAATGAATAATCTTGGGGGAGCGCCATTTATCAGGTGATTTTGGGGGGTGGGGGGTGTCTGTCAATTATCAGGTATAATTATAAGTCTATTTAATTGGCTAAAACATTATTAAATCAGGAGGGGGGTGGGTAGGGTACCTCTCTAATTAATGAAAATCACCTGATAAATGGCACGCCCCTTACATTTTACTAGACAAATTATTATCATGAAAAAACACTTCATTTGTCAAGCTCAATTAACAATTGATTTTTCTGTTAATTATAATAAAAATTCCAACGATAGTTCTATTCAATGGACAAACGCTAGAATCTAATGTTATTATGCTCATACCACACGCGTTAATAATTGGATAAATTCTCAGGTTTATTCGCTTCTCACTTGATTCAATTTACGTTGTCCTTTGTAAGTGTACATTTTGTATTAAAGTCTCAAATTGTGTGAAAGTAAACGCAGAAAAAATCAATCGATGCACACGATTTCGTTATACTGCCCTGCATCTTAAAGTCAAAGGAGCGACGAAGCCAAAAAACTTTATTCCATGTATCATGTGCTAACTACTAATTTTGGTTCGAAACAAAACAAATATATCATGAAAACACTTCATTTGTAAGAATTTCATTGTAAAAACACGATCTTAAAAGGTTAAAAAATGCTTAGAGTGGTAGATAATTGCAATCATTGAATACTTTTCTATATCCAGAATCTTTTTGATTGAACGTATATATTATAAAAGCAATTCTTTACCTTCATTATTTTCTGTAAGTTTTGAGTTGATAGAAGAGCAATCTTCAGTAATATTAATATCATAGTTACATTCTCTAAGATAATCAGTCAATAAACTAACAAAATTATTTCTAGATGCATTGTGACAAGATGCATTATAAAGATAAATTTCTAAAGATAGATTCAGCTTAAAGATTCACTTTTCATCAGGAGTAAGTATCTTATCACAATGAGTCTCTTCTAGATCAGGATATTTTGTAATATTGCATCAATAACTAATAAAATGAAATAAGTCTTTATGATCCACAGACAAGTTGTTACTTCGTAAGTCTGTTAAAATATGTACTATATTGCAGTTTAATCTTTGAACACGATGTAATATCTGATAAGCTTCTTGGTATGTTCAATCAGTTAATATACGAAAATGAGTAAATATTACATTAAAGTTTTCAACTATTATATTTACTCCACAGGTTATTACTAAAGTTGCTATCAAATAATCAAGATTTGTCACAGCAATATTGATATTGGCAAATATTTCTTTTTCTCAGTTTCTGATAGTTATTTAGAAAAGCATTTATCTCAATATCCTTGAGATTTTAATTTCTAATGAAGAACTTTTATTATTTTTATGCTAACAAATATTAGAATATAGACTTTCATTTCCTATCTCAAAGTTCCAATTAATTTAACATTTTATTTTTTGGTATTGATATATATAAGAGCATAATACTTATATCATATACAGTCAAACTTCTCTATAGTCACACCTATTTATAGTCTATAGTCATCCTATTTTGCTTTTCCATTTACATATAAATATAGTAAAAAAAATCTCTCTATAGTCACATTCCCTCTATA